CGAAGAGATTGAAAGAGGATTCAGTCTGACCAATCCCAACCATTTCCGGCGATTTTAATTTTTGGCCAAATTTACAAAGGGCTTTGTGTTTTTAGCGAAAATTGATGGGTCCGGATTTTGACGGAAAGGAATCGAAACGGCAGAGGTGACCCAGGGGACCACAAAACTACCTTTGGTTTTCGTCAGAAACCAGCCCTGTCCACAGAAATATGCGTTTTAAGGGTGGTCTGGCGGGCAGCGTACGATGGGCTGCCTACCTCGCAGGCGAACCGGTCCAAGAAAAACAGGCGTAACTCACTTGAAATGGACCGACGGGGAGAAACTTCGACGCAGAGATTGAAAGGACCAATAACAACCATTCCCAGAGATTTTCAAATTTTTCATTTTTGGCAAAATTTACAAAGGCATGGGTCCGGTTTTTGACAGAGGAGTACTTGAATAGATGGGGGTGAACCAGGGACCACAAAACTACCTTTGCTTCTGTCAGAAACCACTCCTGTTCACAGAAACTTGAGTTTTAAGAGCTGGTCTCTCTAAGTATGGGCGGGTAGGCTACCTAAGGCGCACTGGCTAAGAACTCAGCTGTACAGCAGCACTACATGTAGTGATTCGGCACTATGATATTTAAACAGGGCAACTGAAAAGGGAGTTTGCCCGACCAATCCAAACCGATTCCAGCAATTTCCCAAATTGTCAAGACTTTTAAAAGACATTTTCAATGATAACAAATCGGCCAGGATTTTGACGGAGGAGAATTGAAATCGACAACAAAGAACCAAGGCACCACAAAAAACATCAAAAACCACCCTTTGATGCACATGAAAGGAAGCTCCTCATAGTGTGTCTGTACAGAGACAAATTGGACCAGCGTTGGTGATTACTGTCATGTCAACTCACCTATTCTTTTGGGTAAAATGACTCGATAGACTTCTCTTGCTCGTGTCAAGAACATTTCTGGGCCGAGTTCGAGTTCCTGCAATCATATCAAATGGTACTTTTAGCGCGTTACAAATAATTTACTCATACAGTACACTTTTAAATGCCTCTCCCTCTATGCATTTCTAAATGACCATGGTCTTTCAAATAACTAATTTTGGCACTGGACTATAAGCATTAAGTACGAAGGGGCAGCTGCAAATTATCTGCAACGCACATTGATTGATTGTTTGCGGGATTACGCACCACTCGGTTTGCACCCCAACCAGAAAGTAATAAAGTTTTCTGTTCCACGAGAATAATATAGAGTAAAATATATGATATGTGATAAAACACTGGCAGTTAACTCATTTGCACAAGTGACCTACAACAGTATTATACTGCATGGATTGGAAGAGTCTACCTATTCAACACCTTTTCAACAAAGCTGACATAGCCACGTTATTTACATCACGGGACATCATTTACTCGGCCTCAAAAAATAACTTTTAATTGTGCGTGTAAACATTGAGACACAGGAGAACACTAACCTCCTACAACAATAACCGGAATGGAACAATTCAATATTCCGGACCGGAAACAATCAAGCACTATACCTTACGATTAATATCGAACAGCGGCGATGTCCACTCTAAAATTCTGGTTAAAATCCTATGATCATCAATTATATGAGTAGGTATTATCGGTATTTGGCAGTTTAAACGCCGATCCACACCAATATTCACTGTTTGTTTACGTTTCCAGAAAGCGGGAGGGGAGGAGGAGAAGGGGTCGGGGACGCGGCACGGCAAAAGGAGAGAGCAAATAATTACGGCACACTCGCCGACATATCGTGGTCGCGGGATGTTATTCTTTCCTGGGGTAGGCAATCCCGCCTCGCTTGTCCAGGATGTGATCCTTTGGGGATGCTTCCCGTCCCGTGCATCGTTTGTATGGCTCCAGGTCCAGGCGGCAACGCCAGGGAAGTGCCATGTGACAATAGTGAAATGATCAGGATAATAAACTCTTATGGGCGATTTGCTGTTAATAAAAATTATTATTATATTTGGTGACTTTTAAGAAATATGCACCAGCCCAGGTACACGACGTTTGGAGCCGAATCGTATTTTGTCGTGGGAGTGTCATCGGCGTGCTCGGGAGGTCCCCAATGACGTCCCGCCGGGGCCCAGACGACCTCGGCACTTCCAGATTTGGACTCAGCGTGCGAAAAAACCTACAGGTCGGAGAAAAATAGGTCGGGGATGAGGAAAGTACTCCCCCTTTTTAAATAATAAAAATTAGCCCACAGGGCTAAGAAAGAGACAGTCCCCTCGAACAGGCCACAGAGCTCCCAGCGAAGGCGTGGACGAGCGCCCGAGCCGAGCGAGCGAAGGTGAAGGGAGGGAAAGCCCGTCTAAAGGAGAAGCGAGGGGGCGGAGGGGGGGGGGTTCTCCTTCTGGTAGAGACAGTCTTTAAGGGACCGTCTAAAAAAAAATTGTCGGGGGGAGAGGGGCGTGAGCATTTACGACGCCGAGCGAACTTATTTCTACAGTCGGTTCTGATAAAGCTGCCAGTGGCCGTGTCGGTTGTAGCTGTAGCTACAACTGTGTCGCCACAAACAAGGACGTGGCCCCCGACCCGTGCGCACTGCGAGGAGAACGCCGGGGCAATGGCTGAGGACGCCTGGAGGGTAGGCAATCAGTACACAAGCTGTCCCTTAGGTTGTGGAAGGGGGGGGGGGGCATTGTGTTAGTTTAGATGCGTCCATCCCCTTTCGGCTTGTCAGGGATTCTGTGTAGAACAGGTCCTTGCCTTTTGCTTACACCCTGTAGGTGTCAGATTTTTTATTACCCGAAAAAGAATGTTCTATAGTCGGGTCGGATTAAGCTGACTCTGGCCGCCAGCATTGTGGCCACAAATGGGATGTTAGGGCAGGGTGGAGGGCAGTGCTGTGGCTCAGATTAGTTGAGTGGCTCGCGAGCGCTCGCGGCCCTCAACGAGAAACAGTTATTGGATTACGTCGCCAGAGTTTCGTTGAACATCTTTGGGTTGAACAAAACCCAACAAACAACAACAATGGTACTTCAGCATTAAAAAACATATCTTTATTTATAAAATTACTTTGCTAATAAAAAAGAAACACTATAATACAAAACATTGATAGGTAGGTTATTATATATTGGCAGATATTTCCACAGACTACTACTCATCACTGTTTGTGCAGTTGCACCTCTTCATGACCATTAAATCCTTTAGTCTCTTTAAAGAAACTCACAATTCACATTTGCATAACCAAATGTAGAAAGCCTTATGATTTTTCAAAATCTGTGTCGTGATGACACTTGGATATTTTGTGAGAATAGTGGAGACAGATACACTGCTAACATTAGTTCAAACACAGCCACACAGCTAAGCCAATCAAACCTACCTTTCTAGTTCTTACAAACTAAGGTATGTCAGTGAAATTGTGATGTTAAAGGAATCATATTAAATGGATGAAAGCAATTTTGCCTTAATGTTGCTGATTTAAAATGCAATACTATCACAATTTCACTTCGGGTGCTTCACAGGACTTAGTTTGATGCCTTACAACACAGCCAATCAATGCCTATTAAGTGATTCCATGCCCAATATCCACACCTCCAATGTCACAATCCCCACTATGGTCCAAATTTTGATTTTAATGGCGAAAGCTTGAAATTTACAGGAGTGTGATAACATAATGATTAGGAAAGAGTACATTTGGCATGGAATCACTATTCTCAAATATCACTGGGGAGGTTCCCATTTCAAACATACTCCTCCAAAAATAGCTACAGTACCTTTTATCTTTGAGAAGAATTTTCTCACCTATCATTACCAACAAATAAAGCAATTAATTCCAGTCACAAAATTATTGGAGCTGTTTGGCAATGAAGTGGTTGAGGAGCAATACTTCCTGAATGACTGCTAGGAGAAAATCAAAGATAAATTGATTGAACATGGTTTTCAACACAGTTTAAGTACAAGTGCCGCTGACTAAAGAGAAAGAGCAACAACCAAATAAAGTCCAGAAGCCAGGAGACATCAGGAATATTCATGATAAATCTCATTCTTCAATACACTGATAAGCTAAGTGTTCAACTGCTCAACACTTCTAAGAGTGCAACTGCAAGTTGAATACTTGCCAGTGTGCAACTCGGTAGGTGTGCACTTGCAAGTGTGCAACTCCTCGGTTGAGCACTTCCTACACAGTAAGCGTCTGATCTAAGGAGGTGTTCAACAGAGGGGTTTCACACTTGCAAGTGCACACCTGCCAAGTTTAACACTTGCAAGTGTACGACTATGGAGTTGCACACCTGCAAGTATATAACTTGCAGTTGCACACTTACAAGTGTTGAGCAGTAGAACACTTAGTTTATCAGTGTAGAGAAGAACCGACCAGAAACAACCAAGATAAAACCAGTTCAGAGAGGTATTCTTTCTCAACAAACTCAAATTAATCCCCAAATACTATTGAAGACACCTGCAACATTTAGCATCCAACACATTACAGAAGCGTCCTAGCACAGGACATGACTAAAATAAGTGGGAATACTGATTTCTCTGCAGTTTACATATCTAAATGATTATGCCATTCAAAATCCAGAAGTATACATAATTAACAAAATTGATTCAAAATTAATTTTTATTTGCCGCCTCAAGCTGCAAGCAGGGGAAGCAGCAAGCACCCCAGTTGCCTGGAGTCAAGTCAAAGTCTAGAAAGCGCCCCCCCTCCCCCCTTCCCGTCCCAGCCCCTATTGGTACCCAGGGCCTTTTCCGACGTCGCGGGGAAGAAGTAGATAGACATTTGTTGGAGCCTA